TTGTAACTAATTATTTGCCGCCCACATTTGATGTCAAATTAACTAAGGCATGATATAAGGCATGATGAATTATGAATCAACTGAAATATAAATAAATTGACTGGCTGTTTCCATTAATTCATCAAGACACAAAAGACATGAGGAAGGAATATTCATGCTAAAGGGTGAGATATTGTCACACGTCATCTGTTCTAAGGAACCTTGCTGTCCTCTAAAGGTGCAGATACATTACATTGGTTACATTGTCTGTTGTCAATAGTTTTGTATGAAGAATATCTCACACAAAAGTTACTGGCAAACCAAGCTTTCTGTTCGCCAAACACACCGAATGTGACCAATCTGAACCCAAATAATTTTCCCACAAAGATTTTGCAAGTTGGTTTCGCTGTGTTGACCAACAGAAAACTGCTTGGTTTGAAATTGACTTGCTTCATACATCGCTACACTGGCAAATTTACCTTTTTAGCCAGCAAAATTTCACTAATGTAACCGCACCGATTAATAAGGCGGCATAACTGATATGGATCCTCAAAAGTGACAAATTTGGGGAAACTCAAGCAACTCTTCATAACATACAAATCGCTCTCCTCACACGAAGCACACATAAAACATCTTGCTAAGCTAACAATGTGGATCAAGTGGCATAAAGTGGCTAATAAATCACTTTTATATTAGATTAACCAATATTTATTGGTTAATTTTTGGTAACTGAATGAAATGTATGTATAGTGAACATTTCTCACACTTACTGAAGAGAATCATCTTGGATTTTTTTCACTGTGTTCATCACAGTACATAATGAAAAAACCTATGGTGCCCAACTGTTAAATTAAAGTTGAATTAAATGTAAATGTTTCCTAAGTAGGCAGCTGAATAGGTTTTGGAGCAACCATTGTTTCATATGTTGCCTAAACATCTTTCATTTCCATCCTGTGGACTTCTTCATCTCTGCACATCCATCGTTTTCTCTTTTACCTCTCGTAGACCTCTGGCTACATCTTGTTACCCATGCTAACCTCTACATGATACACATTTCTGCTCTCCCTCTGACAATCTTTCAGTCAAACATCTCTGTTCCTCGAGTTCGCTCAGTCCACCTCCATCAAACAGAGCGTTTGCATATTTGCGGCCTCCTCCTGGCACCCAAGCCGTTATGAATAGTTTAACAGGAGTTGAATGACGTTGTGTGGAGCCTGGCTGTGCCCTTTACCGAGGGCTGTGGTCCAGTCACCCGTGCTCCGTAACTCAAACCAAAAAGGTAGACTCCCACACGTCACACCAAGGGAAAGGAGAAGGAAGAACAAAGTGGAACATGACGGAGGACAGGAAGGAGAGAGGAGAAGAACAGAAAGGCAATACGCAACTGCAACTATGTGAGGATCCTGTTCGTGGACTTCAGCTCGGCCTTTAACACCATCATCCCAAACCTCCTCCTGCCCAAACAAACTCAGCTCTCCGTGCCCACCTCTGTCTGTCAGTGGATCAACAGCTTCCTGACAGACAGGCAGCAGCTAGTGAGGCTGGGAAAATACACATCCAGCACCCGTACGATCAGCACTGGAGCTCCTCAGGGCTGCGTCCTCTCCCCACTGCTCTTCTCCCTGTACACCAACGACTGCACCTCTAAAGACCCCTCTGTCAAGCTCCTGTGATTCTGATTCTGATTCTGATTCAATTAAGTTCGCCACCAGGGGCAGCGTGAGGGGAAATTGAGTCAATGCAGGGAGGCGATAGCTTTAATTTGATTGGCTGCCAGGCCAGACAACAGCTAGAACAAGAAAAGAGCAAGGTGATGTAGTAAAGATATCATCCTCTCCAGTTAGCAGTTAGCTGATAGTTTCTACACTCGCATTCAGGAGAATGAAGGGGAAAGCAGGAAGCAGGATGGAATAGTTGAGTAGAGAGATGGGTGATTTCCAAAAGCTCTTATAAATAATGAACAATCCTAGAGGGATTTCATTGGGGTAACTGAATAAAGCTTAGTCAATGCACAACTATTCTGGTTCCCCCTGTAGGTAGATCTCATTTCAGGTAGACTTGATAAAAATAAATAACATGCACTGTAACATAACATATTAAAACATGTAATTATTTAACATTACTTGCTCATATATTAATATCACATTCAACAGAATATACATGCATGTATGTGTGTATATATATAACTTTAACTTTAAATATTAAGACTTTGTGAGATTAAAAACTAAAGGTGAGATTTTAGATGGTTATTGCAATATTTTTAGTTACACAAATGTATTATTGACAAGAGGTTCATAAAAAACCACATATGCAACATTATAAGAAAAAGATATGGAGAAATTGAAATACAGTCTATTGCTTATGGTTTTCCTGACAAAGTACAGTAATACAAATCACACAAAAAATTATATATTATGTATCTATGCATTAGTTCACTTAGTTTAGTTCTCATCAACTCATTATTAATAAGATAACCAAAAATATGATTGAAAATGATTATATAGTCTCTTATGCTCACCCAGGCCGTGTTTATTTGATGTAAAATACAGTAAAAACTAATATTATGAAATATTACAAGCATCAAATGATCCTTCAGAAATCATTTGAATATGCTGATTTGCTGCTCAAGAAACACATGATCATAAATGCTGAAAGTTATTGCTGCATATATAATATATAATATAAATATTATACTCTATATATATATATATATATATATATATAGACCACTTATATGGAGGCTTTGTCGCAAAGATAAGGCATGTTATATAACATTATGTTTAATTAATTTGGCATCAATCACTCACCTGCTTCACATGCCCATCCCATTGTCCTCAGTGAGAATTATTTGGACCTTACAGACCTTATTTAGATGGATTACAAACTAGCACATGATTAAAATGACCCATAGGCCAGAGTATCAGAGATATGGAGGAAGAAAGCTGGATCACTGCTGCCAGACATGGACAACTGAACTCCAAGCATGCGGCCGCTGTGACCTTTATGTGTGGAAGTAGAAAAGCGGCACGGCCACATTACCATAGAGGACCAATTACAGTCAGAGTGTGATCACGCCAATTGCTGATCGGAGATCAGATTTCAGCCCATAACCCTACAGTTAGGCTAAGAGTCATAGCGTGGTTGGTAACTGATCTCAAATATTAAAGTGGCAGCTAACCGTAATGTGGTCCAAGGTTCATTACACAGGGGAGAGTCAGGTAGCCACAACAGTGGAGAGTTTCAGCAGAGGTATCACACGTGCGGTTCAAACATTTTGGGTTGTCACAAATCCAAAAAATACATTTTAAGCTTTTTTACATTTCACATATTACATTTATTTGATTGATAGGTTTTGTCTTTTGAGAAACAAAATGGTGACAATATTTATCCACCTACTGCTTTTACAGGGATCAAAAAAAATTCAGTACTCAAGGTCACAAGGTCAAATTAGAACACGGTGCTTAAAGGGATAGTTCACCCAAAAAAGAAAATTCTGTCATTAATTACTCCCCCTCGTGTCGTTCCAAACCTGTAAGACCTTCTTTCATCTTCGGAACACAAATTAAGATATTTGATGCATTCTGACAGCTCTCTGACCCTCCCATAGACAGCAAGGGTACTACCATGATCAAGGTCCAGAAACATAGCAAGGAGATCGGTAAAATAATCCATGTGACATCAGGGGTTCAACCATAATATTACGAAGAATTACGAGAATACTTTGTGCGCAAAAGAAAAAAAAAGACTTTATTCAACAATTCGTCTCCTCCGCGTCACACCAAAATGGCGCTAGGCTGGAAACGAATTGTTGAATAAAGTCGTTTTCCCCCCCGTTTTTTTTTATGGTAAATAATATTAACAGAATTGTAAGTAAGTGGATTTACTTAGTAACTTTTGGTTTCTAAATATATTTAACAACATAAAAAGATTTCTAGAATCTCTAAATATTAGGCATTTTAGTAAATTGTTTTTAGTAAACTTAAAGTAAAGTAAATGGAAATGAACACCAAGTCTTTCTTTCTCACTTAAAACTGTGATTCTGAACAGACCGACACACACGCCAGCTTTGCATCACAGGAATAAATTACATTTTTTAAATTACAACTATTCAAAAAAACAAGCAGACAAAGAACACTGTCATCCACAAAAATCTTTATCTTTCATCATTGAATAATGATGATACAAGATACAACATAAAACACTGGCAATTGGGACACTGATCAAATAGTTTATGTTTGTGCGGTGGACCCACAGTCGACAGGACGCGGTGAGGGGGAAGAATTGGTCTTGGCACCGGGCCGTGAGGAGAGATGAGGTTGAATGGATGTAAACAGAGGAGGAGTGAGAGAGAGGAGGATGCTTCAGCTTAAAATCTAAAGGCGATGAGGGGAGGAACACAAGGCCAACAAGTACACATAGAAACGACACAAATACACATTTAAGGCACAAATAAGGCACTTGTGACAACATTTGGAAACTTAAAATAACTCCGTACAGTCAATCCAGATGTCCCGTTCCACTTGCAAAATGCATTACACGCCGAGCACCTGTATTGACACTGACTTTCATATATTAACAAAACAAATACTGGACCAAAATTTGTAAACCTGTTGCTTAAATTATAATAAGAGATCACGATGAAAGATGATATAGCCGACCTTACTGTTGAATATGACACTTAAAGGGTCAGTTCACCCAAAAATGAAAATGCTGTCGTCATTAATTCACCCTCATGTCATTCCAAACCTGTATGACTTTCTTCTTCGGTTTCATCCATGCAATTAAAGTCAATGGGGTCCAATGTTGTTTGCACACCATATTTCTTCAAAGTATCTTCTTTTGTTGTCCACAGAAGAAAAGTCAGTCAGGTTTTGGAGCAACATGAGAGTGAGTGATAATGACAATGTTCATTTTTGGGTCAACTGTCCCTTTAAGGTTTAAAATGATCTAATGTAAAGCACCAGCTACTGGGCAAACAGTACATACTGGAACAATTCCAACTCAAATTTTTTTTTTTTTTGAAAACTATGGAATCCATTTCTCATAAATACCATAAATGCAAGCCAGAGTTTCAATTATGTCAAACAGTTTGCTAACAACACAATCATTATAATGCATTTTACATTAGACGGAGAGTTACAAAGTGCATCCAGCACTCAATACTGATTCTTATTGTAATTATTCATCATTTAAATGGAAGAGGAAAACATCAACTACAGATTCTCCTGCCACGTACTTTGTTTTTTGCTTTTTACAAAGTCATTTTTTTTACATGCTGCATAAATTATCAGCTTATCAGGTTTGCTGAAAGTAACTGGACCTTAAATAAAAATAATCTTAAATGAAAACCCTGAAAAAAAAAAATACTAAAAAAAACAATATTTAACTCAATATTTAAGAATGCATTTTTAACAGAAATGTGTTACAGGACACACGCCGACCAAAACACAAATATTAGATACGAGAGATTCTTTCACACACACATTTGTTGCTTCGTTACAAACTCAACAGACAAATGTTAAATGTAAAAAGCAGCACAGTGATTGAGCGCCTATGGGACGAGATATCATGGCAATACAAATCACGAGTCTTTGCGTCTCTATATGGTGGTAGTGTTGCAAGACTGGGTCAGTAACTTATATTAGTGCAACTGCATTGGGGAAAGATCAGCAAGGAAGACCCTCGGCAGTGTAAACACACCTCCGATGAAGGTCATGCGTGTTTTTTCTAAGTAAAGCAGGTGTGTGAAGGTCACATGGTGAGACTGTTATTACATAGTGAACAAATGGGAGACAAAAAAACTAAATTCCAGTCAGTTTCCGGCAACTTCAGAACTCAAATACTGAGGGATTCTGGGAAATCTGACAGTTGACCAGACAAAGCATGCAAAATCTCATTACTGACAAGTAAAGGGAGGATAATAGTGTGCGTGTGATGCCCAAAATATAAAAAGGAAAAGAAATGTATGAACAGCAGTACAACTTTGTACTAATAAGGCACTAAACAAGTAATAAATTGGAGGAAATATTTCCAGTAAAGCAAGTGAACGTTGGATTCACTAACATTAGACAATCTATAACAGACCCTGAACAAACATAAGGGTTATTTAATGATATGGTGCCTGTTAATAGTGTTTTAAATAGTTTGCAAGGGGAAAGACGTTATATCATTCCTCCTTTTCGAAGTATGTCCGTTTCCAAAAATGAGTAACATATGTTTCTACATGTATTGTGTGTGTGTTTGCTCTAGGCCTTTTCAATCCATCAAACACCCCTGGCATTAGTTTGTTGGTGTCGTCCATGTGTACAGGAAGTGGAGTGTTGTACCTCCTCTCTCATCTCTGCTAGTATCACTCAGTCTTACGGTGATGGTTGTTGTTTAGAGGAGAGTGGCCGTTCTGCACTGGTCCATTTTTCATTGGCGCTTTCCTGTCCTCCTGCTCTTTCTCGTCATCCTCAGAGTCGGTTTCTTCTCGGTCACTCCTCTCGTCCTCCACAATATTCTGTGGCATGACAAATGAGCTGTGATGAAGCTTCAAAATCCCCACAATTCCTATTTCATGCAATTTTATGCAATTATTTTTGCCTGAATTACTTAAAAGGGCAGTTCACACAGTTCTCTCATCATTTACTCATTGTCATGTAGTTCCAAACCAACAGGACTTTCCTTTCTTGTGGAACCCAAAAGGAGAAATTTTGAAGAATGTCCAAGCTGCACTGTTTCGTAGAATTAATTGGATGGGAAGCAAGAATCAGGTCACCATTTACTTTCATTTTACGGCGAAGAGCAGCTTGGACAATCTGCTAAATATCTTTTGTTTATTTGAACATATTTTAAAATGTATTTTATTCCCGTGAAGGTAAAGCTGAATTACTCCAGTCTTCCCATGATCCTTCAAAAATCATTCTAATATGCTGATCTGGTGCTCAAGAAACATTTTTTCTTTAATATCAGTGTTGAAAATGTTTTGTAACATTATAAATGTCTTTACGGTCACCTTTGATCAATTAAATGCATCCTTTCTGAATAAAAATATTAATTAATTTAAAAATAAAATAAAAATCTGTGACCCCAAATATTTGACCGGTAGTGTATGTGCATGTTGTACATGATAGAAGACAATGTTAGCATCCAATATATATATAATTTTAAGAGAAAAATATAATTGTATGGGATTTTTGGGAGGCTATTTTTATCTTCTGGGTTTGAAACCAGCAGTCGCCGTTACAGAACTATAGTGCGTGAAATGCCAAAACAAAATATCCAATGTAGTGCAGTCTGTGTTGGTTGACTTACATTGCCTGGCAAGAATTTGACGGCCATACGCAGGATGAGTACGGCCCAGAAGATGTGCAGACACTGCAGCACAAACAGCAGCCCATTAAAGAAGTAATACCCAAAGAACGGAGGATAAACGGTCACTGGATACACCCAGGTACAGTGCAAAATCCTGAGAGACACAGAAAAGAGAGAAAGCGTGAGTTTTACATCTGACATTTACCCAGCAATGAAGAGAAAAAGGCATATAGAGGTCATTTTCACAAAGGTTTATAGAATTATTTTTAAAAAATGACATTTCAACCGAACTTTGAGACAGGCACAAATGACTTTTTACAGAGCTTTCATTTGATATTATAGAAGCAAATCATTTGATATCTCTTGACAAATACAGAAAGTGGGTCCAGAGAAATGCATGATTTATAGGTTTAATAACAAACCTTGGGATCAAAATAGAAAATTTCCCAACTCACCAAAATGGAAAGATGACAAGTCTGGTGATCATGAAGACGACAGCAAATAGGATGAATATGTAGTTGCACGCTTTTCTCCAGCCGGCATAGTTAAACATTTTGGCAGACTGTTGGGACAGACAGAGATTGGACATATGTCTTTGAGTATTGCACAAAAGCACCACTAGGAGGCAGTGTTACACACCTGCATTAATAACCCTGACTACTGTACATACTAAAGAAGATGTACTGAATTAATCTTGCCATTGACAATAGCGATATTACTTTACAAGCATATGAAGCTCAGTAACAGAGCAACGAACAAGATGTTTTTAAATAAACGACATTTGGCTTACAATTGTTCATATAGAATGCCTGTGAAATCATGCACTGGACAGGACTGTGAGTGTGTGTCATCTGGATGTGGATGTGGCAAAAGCCAAATATGTAAATAAGACCTACGTGATAGAATTATATGTTCACCACAATGTTCACAGAGATTTTGAAGAAAAACACATTCAAACGCAAATTATGTCTGTGAAACACAAATTTACACAAGCTCCTCAGAGAAAACTATTCACCGTAGCATTCTATTAAACAAACTGATGTGTGGCTTTCACTTAACATGCAAAAAAGTGGCGATTGAAAAACATTTTCTACTTGTACTGAAGCTCCAGGGACACAGTCTGAACGCTAATGTTCTTCAGATGTTCCATTACCTCCAGCAGATAGTCGGAGGCGTCGTGCACCAACATAATGAGGGTTCCTGCTCTGATGTAGTTCACACACCAAGAGAAACTAATCAGCAGGATGGTGGCAACGTGGTGCACTATTTGTTCTTTAAAGTCCTGAAGGAGAGAGAACGATTATTATCTTACCTACAATTTATGCAATGGTTTTTGACTTTTGTAGTACTGCCATGGTTTATTAGAAGTACCATGTAAATAACATAAATATGGCACTTCTTCAGTAATATGGTACACTATTGATCAGAATTTTTTAATGTTCATACTCACCAAGACTGCATTTATTGGATTAACCATCACCATAATTGGATTTCATTACCATCACCAAATCATTGCATTTCTTCACAAACAAACAACTAACTAAAATTCATACAACCTTCTAAACAGTGTTGCATTGTTAGATTATGCTTATTTTGGCAAGCTACAACAGTATCTTAGAAAGCATAGCTTTTGCACATACTTTCTAGTCTTTTCCATACAAACGTAAGGGACTGAATTTGGATTTCACATGCTCTTTTGGGGAATATTAGTACTATATTGCCAAAGCTTTAGAGTCAAAGTTCAGGATGTGCACCATAGACTAGGTGACTGATTAATCAAAACATCACTTAAACTATGTGACCAATTAAAATTCAGTGTGGGACAATATCGCCAGGTGACTTTTGATCTGTTGCATTTTATTATGTCAGGCAGGTGATTTTGTTTTTTCTCATGTTGGATGAAGCTCGATTTAATGCACAAATCAAGTGTAAATAGGTTTTGTGTGGATAAATGATCTTATTGGGCTCTCAAATGTTCCCTCAAACTTATTAATGTATCATCCTCATTCAGCTCCGTTATGAAGCTTTATTTGCCCGGTTGGCTAGAAGTTCAATGAATAGCAAAAAACAGGAGACGCACTTGATGAACAGGTTTGAAAGACAACCTGATATGCGATAATATTGTCCTGAACCTCCAAACTCCCTGCTGAAAAACTGTTTAAACTAGCCCAAGTTGGTCTTAGCTGGTTTAAAATGGTTTTGCCAAGCTGGCCTGAAAAGTGTCTAAAACCATCTTAGGCTGTTTTTTCAGCAGGGCTTATAATAAACCATTGGACAAGTGATGTAAAACTGCTGATAAGCCTAATCCTGCTGTACTTTTACTGTTCACTAATGCTTTGTGGAATGGCTAGTGTTCTCTGTGCTGGAAACAGACTATATAAAATTAATGTGATTAACAAAGGGCTCTGTGAGATAAGAGATGTTCCATAGATGCGCAAGTAAAATTTTAACTATCCTCAAATGCGCGCACACACAAACACAGCAGGTAACATTCCACATCTAAGCTGGATTTCTTGGAAGTCCTTGTAAACCTCTGTGATACTAATACTAAAAACTACTGAATAGTGGGTATTTCTATTAAAAAGATGGATCTTTTAAGTTTAGGTAGGGTTTTAAGTTTATTGTGTTTGGCTCACTCACTTTTCGCTTGATGTCTGATGCGACACTGAAGAGGAGCGAGATGTAAAAGCCTAGTTCAATCATGTAGTACCAGTACTGAGAAGGCAGCAGCGTCTGGAGAGAGAAAGAGAAACAAAGAAATTTATCAAATATGTCAAAAGATGACGTTTCAGTGTCACTAACAACAGAACAGAGATGTGGTTAAGATACAGTAGTGTTTCTACAATTCTCCTTGTTAAAACTTATTTACATAAGCTTATCAATATGAATGTTCGCTGAAAGATCATTGTAATTTTAGACACATTTTTATAGCCACAGTCAATAGATGAAAGAATGAACGTACCAGCATTGGAAACCCCGCCCACATCTCCTCCATTTTGTAGAGCCAAGGTTTCTGCAGAACACAAACAATTTGAAGAGAATATGAGCCAAGACAAAAGCGCTCTCACATTTCATCTCAACAAAAGCACTGCAGAAGTATGACATTATATGAGTTATAAACATGAGGGGCAGTGGTCCACCAGTATGTATTTGAACAGCCAATGTCAAAATCCATAGAACAGGTTGGCCGATAGCTGATATAATGGTAGATAAAGCACCAGCCAAACGTTTGGTTGGTTGGTGGATTAATGCCATACCAGCTTCCTTGGCTATTTTCATGGTGAATAACAAGCTGAAATGGTATAAAAGAGGAATTTAAAAAACCTATAAGGTTTTTAAAATTTGCTTTGGATAAAAACTCTAAAATGGATTAGTCAAACATTTACGAGACATTTTATTTATTTAATCTTTTTTTTTTTTTTTTTAAGTAGGTTTGAATAAGTAGGTTTATCCAATTTTGCATCTATAGTGAATGAACATAAATATGATATAAATATAAATTGAATTTTAGCAAGCAAGGTGCACACAATATTGATCAAATTAAATTTATGGATAAAAAGGGAAATCTTCAAAATATCGGAGTAAATTCTGAATTAAATTATATTTATTCAAAGTGCAATCAAATATTTGAAAACAAAAAAAATGTCCATTATCCCTGGACAAATATAACAGCAGTTTTTGGGAATGACACTCATGTCAACCAGCCAAGAGGAAGCGGTTTCATAATGACCACACATCAGCTGATTAATGAGGCCGATATTATAGGAAATAAATATATATCATAAAACAAAGTAGGTTTTAGTTCATGCCAATAAACTCAAAATGGCCAATCATCGATATACATGTATATGCGACTGAAGAGAAAAAGGGAAGCATTTGAAATACTCACATCAATAAGTGCAGCAAGGCCAGCAATGAAAGCAAGAAGGTAAAAGGTAAATCTCCAACTGTAAGAAAATGCATATAGATTTCAGCAAATAATATCCAGAAGCAAATACATTCATCAGCAACATAATATATAAAGCCAAGCATCTCTCATATGAACAAATTACTTTTTTTTTTTTTGGATTAATGGTTCCCAAAACATTACTTGATCACCAGCCATTCATTTTAAGGGTCTAGATTTATTTTTACATTATTAAGTTACTACACACAGTGACAAAATGTACAGGCATAACAACACTGATACAGTCCACTCACAATACAAACACTACCATTACAAGCCCACATCACGACCAACAACTGTATTTAAAGCATCTACAACCTACTGTTGTGACTGACAGCTGGAGATGGCATGATAAACTAATTTAAAGGATGTTCCAGGCTCAATACAAGTTAAGTTCTATCGACAAGCATTTGTGGCATAATGTACATTACCACAGACAATAAAAGATGCAGTTACAGTTGTGCACTTACAAGTAAACTGGGTCATGCACTTTTGAAATATGAAGCTTGTATTTATGTTAAAGGGGTCATATCATGCGATTTCAAGTTTTCCTTTCTCTTTGGAGTGTTACAAGCTGTTCGTGAATAGATAAGATACCTAAAGTTGCAAAGACTAAAGTCTCAAACCCAAAGAGATATTCTTTATAAAAGTTAAGACTCGTCCACGCCCCCTAAAACGCCTGGTTCAAACACGCCCCACATGTCTACGTCACTGTGTGGGAAGATTTGCATAACGCCGGCCAAATGTATACGCAAAAAAAGGCGGAGTAACTTTGATTCTCGCTGTAGTATTGTTGCCACCGCTGCCACCATGTCGTGGAGACGCTGTGTTTTTCGTTGTGAAAGCGAAACTACTTTGTTTGGTCTTCCAAAAGAGAACACAACTAGAAATCAGTGGTTAAGTTGTATTTACAACACTGTTCCAGAACAGTTCAAACCAAATATTGAGATGTGTGCAACGCATTTTACGGAGGACGAGGACTGTTTCCTGGGAGAGTAGCCTACAATGCCGGTGTTCCGGTGAATTCAGTTCCCCTGTTTCCCCTTTGGCGCGCATGCTGACCATATACACTCTATGATGCTGACAAATAATACTGACTCACAGACTGTAAGTACATTTTCATATTTAAAGGATTTGCCACTGACGATTCAAACGTGAGTTTTGAGCAGTGTAGAGTAGCGCTTGTTGTTTGCCATTTCTCCGATCACAAATGCAGACATGGTTTTATGTTTACGCGGCGCGATGCAACGCAACGTGTAAAAAGACAGTATAAGTCATTATAATCAGTAATTATGTCCCCACTGGATGCAACAAATGCCCCGTTTGTAATGGGTTTTATTGGTTTTGTCTCGTCACATGTGTTTTTTGAACCTTAAACCACATGAACATTTCATTACACCAAATACACAAAATAATGTTTTTTTTTAGCAACATCATATGACCCCTTCAAAGCACCTACATGAATTACATTTGAACTAAGTTTGTCTAAATTGTCATTTGTGTTGTAGGTGCATGAATTTCTAGCTAGAATTTCTAGTGCGAATGTAAAAAGCTTTACATGGTCATGACAGGATAAAGATACGCATAATAAAACTTTGCACAGACAAGGTTAGTAATCAATATCACTTCAGTCTTATGTTGACACGTATAATATCAAGAACTATACTTCAAAAACATTGTGGATTGTAACGTTTGTAACAAAAAAAAATAAAAATTTGATGAAAATGTACTCATCCTCAGGCCATCCAAGATGTAGATGAGTTTGTTTCTTCATTGGCTCCAGTTCATCAATTAAAGGGATAGTTCACCCAAAAATGAAAATTCTGTCATCCCCCTCATGTCGTTCCAAACCCGTAAGACCTTCGTTCATCTTCAGAACACAAATTAAGATAGACAGCAATGCAACTGAAATGTTTGCTGATTACGTCGATTACGCTCTTGGGTACTCTCCAAAATGGCAGAAGACATAACTCGGGGGGGTGAAGAACTGTGAAATAAATTGTTATTTTTGTTTTCTTTGCGCTCAAAATGTATTCCCGTAGCTTCGCTAAGTTGAGCCACTGATGCCACATGGACTGTTTTACCGATGTCCTTACTACTTTTCTGGACCTGGGAACATTACAGTTGCGTTGCTGTCTATGCAGGGTCTGAGAGCTCTCACATTTCATCAAAAATATCTTAATTTGTGCTCCGAAGATGAACAAAGGTCTTACGGGTTTGGAACGACATGAGGGTGAGTAATTAATGACAGAATTTTTATTTTGGGGTGAACGAACCCTTTAACATCTTGCATTTGTTATAAACAATCCATCATTAAGACATATTCAACTTCAAACTGTTGTTTCTGGCTAAAATAAAAGGCTTTTATCCATACTACTGTTTTCTCCACATCAAGCACTGTTTACAAACTAAAAGTCCAAAACAGGTGGATTTTGATACGAGAGGCCAACAGAGGACGGACTCTTTCACTGGAGAAAGCGTTATTATGGATTATGGACTGTATTTTGACTAGAAAGCGAAGGTTTAAAAGTTAAAACATCTTGATGGATTTGTTTCATACAAACATGCAGCTCTTCTCATCACAAGACATTAACTGATAGACTGGAGCCATGTGGAATACTTGTGGATTATTGTGATGTTTTTATCAGCTGTTTGGACTCTCATTCTGACGGCACCCATTCACTGCAGAGGATCCATTGGTGAGCAAGTGATGTAATGCTACATTTCTCCAAATCTGTTCTAATGAAGAAACAAACTCATCTACAGCTCAGATGGCCTGAGGGTGAGTACATTTTCATCATCATTTCAAATTTTCATTTTTGGGTGATTATTCCTTTAAAAGGTAATCAACATTACCCCAAATGCTTTGGATGAAACTTAACTTTGTATTGAACCCTGTGCATTCCTTTAATTACATATATTGGATGTGGGTCTGAAGCACAAGACAAATAAATGTTGAAATGTCAAGGACAAGATATTAAAGGACCAACCCACAGTTAGTAAACACAGTGAATTTATTTTATACATGGGTACAGTAGCCAAATTTTGTGTTTATTAATACCACATACCGTTCTCCACATACATCTCCTGTGTGCAATATCCTTCCTACCTAATGAAAAATTGATGGGGTTTTTTCTGTTTTACAGTGAATTTTGTGTATAATTGCATGTTGTACCACTCAATACTCAGGTTATCAGTGTGCACTGTTACTTAAAGGGTTAGTTCACCCAAAAATGAAAATTCTGTCATTAATTACTCACTCTCGTGTTGTTTGAAACGCAAAGAAAACAAAAATAATGACTTTATTCCACATTTTAAATATATATTAAAGATACTGTCGTGAACGCGTGTCCAAAGTGACGCAGTAGAGACGAAATAATGTTTATGACATTGAGCAAGCTTATAAAATATGCAGCATGGTGGAATTTATGGCCATTTACGAAAGGATGGAAATGGGGATCGAACAGCCTGTGCGTATTGTTCTGTACCTGGCCTCTTTGAACTTCTTCAGCTTGTTTGGTCGCTCTTGATTCCTTCGTCGCCTAAACCATCTGTGGATCTGTCTATCTGAGTAACCGGTCTTTTTACCTAAACTCTCGATTTCACACTGTAGAGTAACAGAGAAGATGAAGGGTAATTTAATGGTGAGATATGATTTAAAGGGTTTGAGTTACATATGTCACTCACGAGTGTACTGAAACAATTCAGCATTAAAAATGTGTGTTTATATACAGAAGATAGCAAAAACTGACTTGCTGCATACATTTACATTCATAATACAGACACAATCTAAAGCAGCTTATAAATGAGGAAACACAAAAAGTACAAATAAAAGGGTTTTACTGTACTGTTGAGTTTGGCAGTGTAGAATATGCGGAATTGTACCTGTTTGGGAGTTTTATTTGAGATTCTGAAGAACGACTCCAGCGTGGGGTTGTGCTCCAATCGCACTCTGACTTTCTCCTTTACACCCAAAGCCGCGGCCATTTGAATGGCCACTGTCCTAAATTTGAAAAACAGTATTAAACTTTCAACACTCGAGTTGGAAAAACTGACAACACTGCATCAATGTTAACCATATTTAAAACATTGATCATTCAAAGCTTGTGCTCCTATGTTTTTGAATTGCTAGAGCACTTAAAAATGTAAAACATAATTCAGATTGATTACTGGATAGTTCCAGACAGATTAAATTTTATCATATTTTATATATTTTATTATACAAGTAAAATATGCTAAAAGCGTTCATTTATTATATGAAAATTATACATGCAAAATCATTTTTAGCTACTGCTGGACAGATAATATCTTTAATGCTGTGCTTTCTATGTTTTTAACAAATTCAAATAAAAATGACCACTAAACGTGACACTAACACTTTTTAAACAGCTTTCTCACTAGATGAACAGAACATGTTTACATGGACACTTTTGATAAAAAGTCAAATTGCATATACCATATGTTGCAAATACAATATTGACATTGGTGATAACCTCATAAAACACTAATGAGCTAATATGCTCAGTAGGTTTCACGCTGACCTCTCAAAGATCTGTCGTATAATGAGGAAGATGAGGGCGATGGGCAGGGTCACCCAGAGGTCAGCTGCCTTGGCGTAGGTGAGACCATCACTACCCTCCAAGTTGGCCCAACCCAGGCCTTCTGGAAACCACAGCCTCTCATTCCAGAACCACTCTCTCAGCCTGGACAACATCCTGATGCAGAGGATGACACAAATATGACCTAATTCAGACATTTTGAAGACTACTAAAGAAGATTTCATGGGGCTGTTGCAAGTGTGAGCTGCTTAACTCATTTTTTAACGACAACTAAGTGTTTTTCAATGATAAATCTTTAAAAACATAAATCTAAAGGAATATAGGAATTCATATGTATATATATATAAAACAGGTAAAATATACTAAACACGTATAATAATGTCCATTTATTGTATGAAAATGATCTATGCAAAATACTATATTTTTAGCTACTGCTGAACAGATTATTTCTTTTGTGGTTTCTATGTTTTCAACAAATTCAAATTCTTGTAATAGGTTTGGTTCATGGCTTCTAACTCTTTAACTAATACTTTTCAAAATCCTATAGGAGAACTGAATGGGAATAAATGGGACATTAATGAATGAATTATTTTTATATCAATACTTCAATACTATATTGTATACACAGGGAAGGGTTTCTGCAGGATTTTTAAGCTCAAATTTCAGACTTTTTAAGACCTTTTTTAAGACCTGCACAAATAAAATTAATACCACATGAGCGGGGTAGGGCAATGTCTATAGTAACATATTAAACCGTAAAATGACAGTAAAAAGCATGATTTACAGTTCAGATACAAGATTTCACAAAAACAAAAAGTTTTATAAAATGACACACTTAACATTTCAGCCTTTAAAGGCACAATATGTAGACTTTTTTATTAAAATATCCAAAAACCATTAGAACAGTGTTATATATTTTGCTGACTTGTGTACTTACATTATCCCAAATGTTTCGAAGAATGTTTAAATCCAGAGAAATAAGCTATTTTAACTAGTGACACGGAACGTGTCCATAGTGTCATTGTGTCGCCTGCTAATGACATCATAACCCCTCGATTTCCGGTTTTGTTTTGTAGAAAACATGGAAACACTGCAGCGGAGAGATCAAAACAAAACAACCGGCACTAATTAGAAGTACAAAACGAGGATTTGTAAAGAAGAATGTCAGAGGATTTCGATATAAGCCAAGAGGAGACTGGTTTTCCTTTGCTAAAGTAAGGAAACTTTGCTTCCTTTGCTCCTGTTAACAAACGTTGGTTTTCACGAGACTCACCGGTGCATGTGCAACGCCGACCTCATACGTCATCCTCCCGGAGCTGTTTCCATGTACAACTGTTGGTGCAAGCTAGATTAAAGTGATTATTACGTTTTGAACATGGATATTATTCTTACAAAAAGGCATCAATTCGCTACAGGAGGCCTTTGTTCACCCCCCGGAGCCGTGTGAGGCACTTTTTTTATGGATGGGCGCTTTTTATTTCACTTCTTTTGGACTGAAGCACTGCAACACCCGCTGACTGCAATGATAGAGCTTGGAATAGCCAGGACAATTTTTTATATAACTCCGACTGGATTCGTCTGAAAGAAGAAAGTCATATACACCTAGGATGCCTCGGGGGTGAGTGAAACACAGCCTAATTTTCATTTTTGGGTGAACTAGAAATCCTAGGGTCCTAGAAATGCGGTCCTGAAACTGCAGCCTCCAACAGGCTCATTGAAAATGCACATTCATTCTCTGCCAGCAGGAGGCGCTTTCGGAACGGCAGAAATATAACGGTTTCCCTGGTAACGGCAGAACACAAAGCCGGCAGCACCGGGCTTTGAAATGTGCAGTGCTCATATTCAATGAAATCATAGCCTTTTGAAGTGTAATCATCAATATTAAGCCATATCACAATTCTGGTCTTTCCGCCCCCAAATTTAAGACCTCCTGAAATCATAATTAAGACTTTCTTGTACAATTTAAGACGTTTTATGGCCTTAAATTTGATCAATTTGCCAACTAAATTTAAGACTTTTTAAGAACCTGCGGGAACAGTGCAGGGATTGCTTAGAGGGTGGCATAATTAAGTTTGAAACACTCCCAATGATGCCTTAAAATGCTGCTCTATGTAAGCAGCTTACTAGTGTTTAAAATACAATATTTACAATACATTGTCAAACTCTTACAAAACAGTCAAGTAACACATTAAGAGATTCAAAGCTGCCATTCCTTTAGTAAACACTCATGTCATCTGCCCTCAATATTGATAGTCCACATTACTCAGAAACTAAATATGAGCTCAAGACCACTGATAAGCTACTATTTTAAAGCAAACTTTCTTTAAAAGATGAGCTCTTCTGCAGAGGTACAGAAATACATCCCTGGTACAGATTGGTGAACCATTCACACGGGTCCAAGAAAACAAGCAAAGGAGTTTTGAATGAAAGCCCCTCCTTATCGGCGTGCTGTCAGTGACACGGTTTGAGCAGATGGGTCACCAGCTGTACTAAAGCCTGCTGTCTCAATGGAGTCATTCTGAGAGGTCAGCATGACATCATGGCCGCTGTCATTGGCTGGCAGCGGCTGAACAGCTGTACTGTCACCTGTGGTAATAATGAGTACTGCTTGGAGCCAGCCGGGCCAGAGAATGAGACCGATTCCCTTCCTTTCCGTGCCATTCTGTGTGAATGAAGAGCTAAAAACACACTGATAATACCAACTGTTATCCGAGCACGGCCTGAATATATCAGCAATGTCAAACAGCGAATAAAGTTTGATAAAAGACCTGACACACATGATGATATAAAAGTGGTGCCAAGTCAAGTAATGTAGGAAGTTGACTAAGTACTGAATCATAGATGACTAAATAAAGGTAGTTTTAAAAAGTACCTTTTGAATCATTATTATTATCCTTTGAAACAATCAGTCAAGTGACGATCCAAGACATTGTTTAGTTTAATCTCCACAACTACTAACAAACATTTTCACACATTTTTGTGAGTCTGAAAGAGCAAAACATCTCTCAAAGGACTTAATTAGATGCCAAGCATTAAATAAGACAAATGGACTTTGAACACGGAAACTAAAGACTGTCTGGCAACGTCAGCTGTTGTTTGCAGTCAGGCTCAGCTTTGAAGAATTGTTTGGTTAGCAAATACACAAACTATAAAAAGCAGCTGGAAAGCTCTAGTTGTGTTTTTGTTCCATGAATGAATCAGTGACTCATATTTGAGACTAATTGGAGGAAGAAAGATGAATCAACTTTGCTGTCATTTTGGGGGAAACACAACGTGATGCTTACAGTTGCAATGAAGCGGAAGTAGCGACAACAAATCGTTTCTTCTGTTTTAGGTTGTACATTTGAGTGTAATGGATTATCAGAAAAACAATGTAGGACGGGAATTGGTTCTATGAATTAGATGATGATTGGATGTTCAGATGTGGGCATTGCACTCAAAAGGTCGGAGGCAGGATTTTAGCGGACAAAATGATTGGTGAAGACCTGCTTACAGCAACAGAGACAAGTCTGTCGTTTTTAACGGAATGTCTAGTTATGAAATTTTGATTTAGAATTATACAGTCGGAGTCAAATTTAAAAAGATAAAGAAAAAAAATCCTACACATGAAAAAGTCACCTACAATAATATCCATAATAATATCCATTTGGAAAAATAGTTGAATTTTTATTCCATGCCGATTTGAGAAGACTTATTTGCCCAAATATGCCAATTTCCATACTAAACAGTATACAAAAAGCAGTATATCAAACGAGTTTCATGTCCATTTATGCAGTAAAGTCGTGATGAAATGGAAGTAGCAACATACTTCCATCTTCTTTTTTTCCATATTGTGACGTACATCCAGGTGTAACAAATTACAAAAACAGAAAAATGTAGGGTAAGGACTTTGTTCTATGCATGGGCTGTTGATTGGATTTTGAGATGAGGCAGAGGAATGGGAGCTTGAAGGGGCGGAGTTTACATAGACCAAACGAACTGTTCACAATAACATGCATTTAGAAAACAGAGAGTGAATTTTCATTTCATGCTGACCTTAAGACAACGTATGCGTCACTGAATCATTTCAATGAATGACTCAATGACTCGTTCATAAAAAGTGCAAGCATATTTGACGTTTAAGTGTCCAAATGTGCCTATTTCCATACTATAGCTACAGAATACAAAAAGTAGTATATCAAATGAGTATTATGTCCATTTACGCAGTATTCAAAAAACAGTAAATGTAAAATATCCAGATGACCTAAACGAATTCATTAATAAATATTTTAGTGAACACAACCAAAGACTTTATTTAATACTGAACAAAGGATGTTGTTTTTTTGAGATTGTAAATAAAAAATAAAAAAGATTTTTGGAATATGTTTATTTGTACCACTGTACACAGTTGCGTTATAATTTTTTTATGAAATTTACTAGCTCAGTGAAAATTGCTTCAACATCAATTTTTAGTGTACAGTGTATTTTACAAATTATTAGAAGATGACAGTACAATAAAAAAAAATAATCAAAGAGAGATGTGCTGCTTATCATAACGTCGTGACGTAATACCGTGGCATGAGACTCCACTTCAAAGCGCTCGAGTGTAACACATGACGACAATCACAAGTTAAAGGGGTCATATGATGCAGTTTCATTTTTTCCTTTCTCTTTGGAGTGTTACAAGCTCTTGGTGCATAAAGAAGATCTGTAAAGTTGCAAAGACTAAAGTCTCAAATCCAAAGAGATATTCTTTATAAAAGTTAAGAGTCAGCCACACCTACCTAAAACGGCTCGTTCTAACACGCCCCCACATGTCTACGTCAC